ATGGGCATGCGAAACCAATCCGTTCTTCATGAACATCGTTTTTGTGAGATTTAGTCGAAGAAAAATCTTTCTACAAGCTTTATCAAAGTCGTCAAGGATACGTTCTGCCAGGCTAATGTTTGGTGTTACAAGGACGATGTTATCAGCAAAGCGAAGATGGTGTAACTGTCGACCGTCGATTTTCACTCCCATATTGTCCCATTCTAATGTTCGTATGACATTCTGGAGGGTGGCGGTAAATAATTTCGGCGAGATGGTATCGCCTTGCTTAACTCTTCTTTTGACGTTAATGCTAATATCGTTGTAGAATGGTGATATATTGGTTGTGAAATTTTTGTACAACTCACGAAGAATTTTTACGTACTCAGTAAGGACTCCTTGACTATCAAAGGCTTCCTAGACTCCTTCCATCTCAACTGAATCAAAGGCCTTCTGTAAATCGATGAATGTGAGACAGAGCGGTCTTTTGTACTCTCGTGATACTTCAATGAGCCGTGTTACCGTGTGGATGTGGTTCATTGTACTATCCTCTTCGAAACTCCATTGCCTCTCTGGACGCTGTAACTGTTCCGTCTGGGAGCCGGAGACCAATCATTTTGGTCTTGTAATTGGCGAAGCTTCGGTGGGCTTTTTGAATGCTTTTCCCAACCTCTGCAGCTTCGGCCATTACTGCTGCTCTTCTCTCTCTAAGACTCTAAGATCTTCTTTTATCGCCTGTCTGCGTTGTTTTGCAAGCTCGGACGTTAGATCGTGGTTGCCTGCAGCTCGTGCGATTCCACGCTGGCGTATCAGCTCCAGTGTTTCTGGAGACAGATGCCTATTGGTGACTTTCGAACTCTGAGCTTTCATAACGATAACGTGAAAATGTTGAATGAGCCGATCGTATTCCTCGCCGATGTTATGGACAACGGGATCTTCCCGATAGCCGACTATTGAGTTGAATAAGGCCCAGTTTATAGTGGTTCTGGAACTTCGGTTTTTGAGTTTAGCTGCTTTTTCTCCTTTCAGCGAGAAATAGAATCTTGTACGAAGGAGACGGTAGTCTGATCCCATGTAGAATTTTGGGACAAGAGCGACATCGGTTAGGCAAAACCTTCGGTTTACTATGATGTGGTCTATTTCGTTATGGTACTCTCCAGTGGGGAGACTCCTACGTCCAGTGTTGAGGGTGGGGCTTCTGGAATTGCGAGTTACCATGGATGGTCTTGGTCCCCATGATAAACTCAGACAGCCGCTCACCCTGTTCGTTCCATTCTAACCCATTGGTCCCAATGTAACGTTTTTCAGACCTTCTTGGTCCAATCTTGGCTTCAAAATCTCCAATGATGACCTTGAAGAATGTGTGGTCTTCTCTGTAGAACTTCTCCAAGTCCATATAGAACGCTTCGACTTGTTCTTCGCCATAGTTTGATGTCGGGGCGTAAACGACGAAGATTGTCAAAGCCGGAATTGATCCACGTCTTTTTAATCATAAACGTCCGATTCTAGTCATAAGTTGTTCGAATGAATCGATGCTCATGGACAAACTCGTGTTGACGAGAACGCCGACGCTGCCGACTCCTTTACTGTTGCATATTCTTCTCTGGTGTCATTGACGGCGTTGAATGGGTGGCGTCGTCTCGTCTCCGCCAGGCCAATAACTTCGTAGTTTATCCTTCTTGCTTGCATGAGCAAGTCTTCTATCGAGGATTCGATGTAAGTCTACGTGCATTGTAAGTACAGATCGTCACTATAGTTCTTTGTAATCCAGGCAGCTTCCATTGGCCCTGAGATTTTAGCAGCCTCTCCGTACTCGTCCCACCCAACGCTGCGAAATTGGGGCTTTTTCGGCGTCAGGGGAATGAGGCCCGTTCTTTTCACTGTGTTTAGCATTTTTGATGCCCACGTATAGCTTGCTGGGCTCTGAACGTGGCGTCTGGGTATACTCACGGGTAGCTTGCCAGACCCTCCCAAGGTGGACATGGAGCTTATTTGTTGGAGACGATTCCTAATCGCCTCCCATATACTTCCCAGTCACTTGATTGCTGGTTTTGGCCGAACTGACTTGCAGAATACAATTCGTACAAGCGAGGACGCTCGCACGCACGCATGCATGAATACGCCTGGTAAATACAGAAAGTATGTGCCAAATCAGCACAGCAGAAACAGGGAGTGCATCCCCTCCATTCACCGAGGTCTCAGCGAAGCAAAGGTCGCTTTTGGTCCGCAAATGCTTCCCGATGCGTCACCTGGGTACGCGCCACGTAGCCTCGTGACTAACCGTCTCGAGATCCCTCATATGAGGGAGATCCGTGGTAACCTTCGTTAATTTCCCGCTGAGGGATCTCTTGAATTTAACGTCGAGTCGGTCCAAGAAAAACGGTACAATCGTCATGTATCCACGTTGTTTACGGAATTTCGGTAAATCTCACTCCAAAAGGGGATTCAAACTTTGATCGACTAGTAATGAGAGAATAACGTTCGCTAAAGTCGCCTCATCACAGTAAACACAAGTGTAGGCTGTTCCTACAGCCCTGTAAAATTCGGATGGAAGTCTTGTTCAAACATTTGATCAAACTGCTCTTTAGAACGGATCATATCCACAGTCGTGAAATGTTTTTGAGGGTGAGACCGCTGAGCAACAGAAGATTCTTCACATGCATATCGAATGACCACTTGCATGTTCACTACCTTTACCTCTGGTGTGAAAGGAAGAGAATGAGGCTCTTTATTGGTAGATCTGTCTAATTTGTGCTATAAATTGCAATAGCGTCTGAAGACGAATAGTAGATGTCAGCTCCGAACGGAAATTTGTCTTTGAGATGTGATATATAGTAGAAACCTCCCAACGGTTTACCGCCTCATCGTGGCTGGGAGGTCTTCCTGGGTGTCGGTCTGCGACGTACAACCGGGGATTCATCCCCTGGGAGGGGGTGTCCCAAGCTGAGAACGAGTCTGACATTTTCATCAGGAAGCCTAGCTAAGAGTAAACCAATACCGGAATCCACCACCGTCCTGGTATCAAAGCCGCATGGTGGTAGATCTCCTTCTGATCCACAAGGGCTGCGACTGCCTGTGGTGGTGAAGAGCTGGGGCAATCTTTGGCCAGGCTGACTTCGGGACTCCAGGGAATCACAATGGCTTAACCAGCAAGTCTCCGAGAAATAGAGATTCTGCTGGAGTCCGCACAACCAGTGAGGAGGGGCCATTCAAGCAATCAAGTATAAAGTAGGAAAAATTCGGTTCAAAACATTATGTTGCTGACTTTCACGACTTATCGGGATATCGTGGCTTTTCTCTGATGAGCAGAGAATCGAAGGTAAGACATCGTTCAGACATGCGCTATTTCGTTAGAATGGTAAAGCACCGTTGAATATTTTAACGTAGGTCTCACGAGAGTATTGGGAGAGAATTGCGATACTGTCAAACACAGAAGTTACACAATCCACCTTTTCAGATACAGCAATTTTTTCATGTAAAAAAAATTCGTGCGAATAGTAATGGTTGTGGTAATGTGATCTATCCTCATTATTCAAACTGCCAAACCAGAATTATAGATTTTATGCGAATTTGAATACACTTCGTGAAAGCTGGGTAGCCTCAATCCTTTTAAAATGAAGTGGATTATTCGCCTACAAGACAAGGTGTCTTCTTATCCAATTATTCTATAAGGCTATAACAACGGTCCTGATGTAAGGATTTGTATCTTTGGCAAGGGTTAAAGTTGGACTTCCGGGAGAACTCTCTAGAAAGGTGAAATGCAAGGATGACCAGACATCTGGTAGATAATCTTGATGAGCTATATTACCTTAAACCAAGACATGGCATTTAAGATAAAGCAGTACGTTGCAGTTAAACGTTCCTATAAATAATTTGAAAAGTCATCAAATTGTTTGAAAAAGTCGAACTCGGATTGCAGACGACCAGACGACGAATTTACTGTAAGACATGAATGCAGCGAGAAAAAAAACTTATAACTAAGGGGTTGAAAATGTTTCAGTTGACGGACCCGTATCAGCTGTTAGCGTTCCAGAATCAAGGGCACATGTCCGGATTATCATCGTCTTTGAAGTACTGTCAGCTAAAATATAGTGATACAGATCAATCAATAGTAATAATCACATAATAGTAATTCATATAAAGAACTAACCTCGATGTCCAATAATTTTGATGCAGTGATCAGCTGGAAAAAGGCCCTGTCGTCCTTTTTTGAATGCCCAACATGGGTGATGATAAGACGCGATCGATGCCGACTCTCGCTAAAGAACCAGAATTTTCTTTTCTTGAAATTTCTGATTTAAATGTGTCGACTTAAATGGAAGGATGATAATCGAGCATTGGCTGCTAAAATCTCCCCGATTAACAGAGATCACCAGAGCAAAGCTGGGAACTTCATCTGGGATTCAAACCTGCGATTCCCTAACCGAAGCTCACGTGCTCTTCACCACACCAACCGAGGCCCCTGCTTTGTCTTTCTCTCATCCATAACTCTACTCTGTCGGTGCTGCATGCAATCACCTTTCAACAGGAATAATCTAGTGAGCATAAGTCAGCATTGAACCTAGCTAAGTCGAAACTGAGCCCCTATAACGGAAACGGTGGGTTCGAAGTCCACCTGGATTCCGAGTTTTGCTCGTATCTCAACATTCTTGTGGCTGTACTTAATATCTTACCGTGCGATGAAGAAGGACTAAGCGGTAAATAAAGTGTAAGCACAGATATCAACGAATTTCCTAACTTTCTATCCCGAACTGCTTGCAACATTTTTTATCTGAAGTGATGTTATGGTTTCCTGCAAATATTTCCTGCAGGTGATAGTCTTAGAAGCCATGTTAATTGTGTGCCACACACCTCGGCCAGGTTTTCGTTAATCCGCCAGTTAAGTGAGAAAAGGATTCTGTTCAAAACATTCCCGATCATCGTACTCCACTTCTCTTTTTATCCCCTTCCAATTCCTTTAAAGGTTACAAAATCTATTTCGTTCTCATCAACTGTACAGGTTGATGAGCAGTAATTTATGGTAATGATCTTTTATTTCAAAGCGTAGTGTAGGTAAATCAGGTAGTTAGATCTCAAAGCAATCGAGGTGATAGCTAACAGATGATTGTACGATGGAATGTCACAGATATTGTGCGAGTTTCATCAATTTTTTATCCAAAGAAAAGGGTCCAGTTGCTAATCGACGTATGTCGGCCTTCTTGCGTTTCCGCTTTTTTTAAACACTTAAAGGCAAACGTAAGGAGATTACTAGTTAGTCGCATAGAATTGTGTAGATCAGCTCCGAATGACTAATACAGGCCCATTTTATCTGCGGTCATTTTTTGGCGTCAGGATGTCTGGTTTGCCGACCGCGGAGGGATGAAACGCTCGGTGGCACGGGGGTCAAACCCATGTGTGTAGCAGGACGCCTCTAACCAATCGCGCTACACGAGCCCTTTTCGAATAGTTACTTATAAGAAGATCAAGTAGCTAACCTTTGGAGTGATCTCGATCGTGCTATTAAAAGGATCCTCACAGGCTCTGTTATTTCCATCAAATGAGCTACAGACAAAGCAACCAATGCTCAAAGCTCCTAGAAAAAAAAAGAATGTTATCAGATGACGTTGACTTAGCCAGAAAATGCAGCGCACCTGATTTCCCACAAGTTCCATCTACCACACATTCAAAAGATATGACTGGTGAATTTTAAAGTGGTTATAAAGCTCAATTAAAGTTGGTACTTTTGCAAAATCATTATTTACTCGAAATCAAAACATTTCCAGTCATTGTGACATTTCCTTGGTACTAGATCAGCACTTCAGCCACAGTGATTAAGTTCAAGCAGCGTGGTGGAATTCCTCTTCAAAGCTGATCGGGTATATTTTTGGTACATCCATTATGGAGCAAATCGATCTCTGATAAAATAATAAATAACAGAAATCGTAGTTGAAAATTTTAAGTAGCTGGATCAGGTCCACGAATACTGGAACAACTTCCCAGCAGAAGTCGATCAGCTCTTCCCGGGTAATCTTTACACAATTTGGCAATCTTTACACAATTATGCTGATTTGCTACACGTTATTTTCCCGCAAGTGTGATTAGATGAATCGCGAGCGGCCTTTAAATCTCACAGTACCATTAGAAGAATTCACTGTAAGATCGAGCAAATGAAGCTATAGAATGCCACACGCTGGCCATAATATCGAAACTATGACCTTCCCGAAAAAACCTTCACGTTAGCTAGTGGATCCTGACCCGAGTCCAATAACTAGTATTTGCAAATCTCTGGTAGGAAAACCCCTTTTGCCCGTCGGCGGTGACAAGCCTGAGTCACTTCTTGTTCTTAATGCATGACAGAAGCCGCAGTGTGTTTCTAGCCCCAATGCTGTGGATTTTTCAGACCAATGAAAGGGATTGACCATTATCAAAGCTTCAGATCTCTATCGATCCATCTCTTTGGTCACTGCGTGATAAAAAGCTAGAAAGCTCTCTGCGTTGATCAATCACTGAGGGATCCACGATGAATTCGACTTCATTAAGCCCCATTAGAGGCTACTGAACGCTTATCTGGCCTATACAATGACACCCGATGGACTACCGATATATCGAGTTAGTGCTGGCTACCCACCAAGACGGGTCCGCTACCAATTTGTCGACCCCGGAATAATGCAAGGCTTGTCAAGCTCTACCGTACGGCATAGAATCCATGTGTATTGCAGGGCGCTACTAACCACTGCGCTATTCGCGCCCGTATTGCTGCGATTGTGCGACATAGGTAAGGAATTGCTCGCTAATTGGCATACGATCGGAGATGGACCACATCTTGACAGAACACATCGAAATTCAATTCAATTAAGTTTCGTCCAGAATGGGGCTGCGCTTCAAGGCTGGTATTAATAAAAAGAAAGGACATCAGGGAGGGTCTGTTCAGATAAGAAGTAGAGGAATACTAAGCTGTGAATGTGGTCTTGATTAAAAGTCGTTCATATTCCTTATAAAGAGTGCTTATTGCCAGCATCTTCACCGACTTGTATCACCAAGCTATACCGTACACTGGCAGGGATTTGAAGAATAAGATTAGAACGAAAAATAACTTCACATACACAATGGATGGAAAAGGTCCACGGATAATGGGCCGACAAATAAAAAAGGAGAGATGACTAACTACACTATATGCCGCCTATTCAATTCGCTGTATACTTTCGACCTGCAGAACACGACTCAGTGCGATTACTGGTTTCGAACCAAAACCAGCTTTAATAAAAATGAGATTCAAAATAACAAAGAGATCATCTATGGACCAAACCTGGAATAGCGATGAGTAGAAAGAGGGCGGACTTGAGGCTTTCCGTGCTCAAACCGCGCGCCATGCACGTACAGCCGATCGTTACTCCCGCTCAAGTGTCGACGCGCGTGCGGGACATGGAAGTCGGTGTCGCCACGAAGTGGAACGGGGTGTCGAAGCTGGGCGAGGTGTCCCGTTTCTGAAGTCATTCGGAATCACAAAGACTAAGACGACACAGAGACAACGACACAAGCTTCGACACTAGGACATTGTCCGTTAAGTGAATCATGAATGAAACCGTAGTTGAACCCTGAAATGAAACCCTGAAGACCTAGCTGACTGAAAGACAAAATTATTTGGACAAATAATGTGGTCTGTACCATTTTTAACGTCACATTTCTAATTCATACCACTCCTTTAAGCGAAAATCTCAGAATATTAACTTTTTATTTGCTACCTACTACAATTTTTTAAGGCAGAGTATTATGCGAAACACAACCACACTGGTGCTGGGAATTTGCAAAACTCCGGACCGCAGGTGTCTGCTGTGGGAAACGAACGTGCTTTTACCCTTTACGGAAGCTAACGCTTTCACTACCACACCATATGGGTCTTTCGTTTGGCCTGTCTCTCAGCTAGTTTTATCGAAAAAGTCCCAGAATTGTTCGCATACCACTTCGTCGTTGTAAAAAAAGGAAGTTAAACTATCAACAGCTCGTTGTATTTTCGTGACTGATGTCATAACTAAAATTTCAGGAGGATGGATTACATTAGCGACGGTGCTCTTTTCCTAATTCGTACCCAATAAAATCGAGAAATGATGAGTTTTGTTTGTAAATTTTTTCCACAACAGCGCTTACCACTCCAATGCAAAGTAAGTTATCGATTCACTACAAAAAATATTACAGGAAAGTGCTATGATGTACAGAACAAAAATGCTTAGCAGTGGATGAGTGTAGAGTATGTGAGCCATATGTGAGTCATAGATTCGCAAGACAATGTGGACTGAGTAGCCTAGCTGCGAACAGGAGACAGTGTACCATCACAATGGAGAATTCCTATCAAATCCAAACAAAATTCGAGAACTCTGGTACTATGTGAAACCTCGGAAGGCTATCAAAAAATGCACTAGGTGACATGCAAGTTATTTTCGGACGCAAAATTTGACAAAGACATCAGTGAATTGAGAGAAACTTAGGCAGCTCTAGCTCATTCATTTTTTTTATCGGCGGTCATTCTGACAGAGATATTGAGCACGGTACCGTCCGATCACAGTCATTCTTATAGTCTCTACCAGGCAAACTACGTCTTCCATCGTTCTGTTGTCACTTTGTTGATAGCATAGACTGAAAAGGCTCTTCGAGTTCTAGAGAACTCAATTCGAGCTGGACACGTCTATATGCCAAGCAGAATGGATTACATGACGTTACCATCGGTTACAGAACATAGAGTCCATTTACGGCAAAATCTAGCGCCAACATCTAACGAACGTAACGTTACTAATATTTCACACTTTAGCTCATCTCTTACGGAAACTCATGAAGCCTAAAGCCATTAACAGGATCCTGGCGCATACTTAAAAAAGATACACAGATAAAGAGGGGGGAGGGGGGTAGCACAGTGGTAATGATGCTGAGCACGGTGCTTATTCGATCCCGCTCCGGGCTGAACAAGTTTCTCATTCTTCGGGGGTCGAGAAATTGGTACCGGTCTTGTTCGGAAAAAAGTTACTCCCTGCAATCCAAATGGGAAGACTGCAGCCTGGCTACCTCAGGGAGAATCGATTTGAGCAGTATTATATAAAGATGGAATGAAAATCCTGAAGCAGCAGCCGAATCCACGCGTATAAGTTGGAAGACGTTCGTGGATGGTGGATGCGAGGAAATTAGGAAACGAATCAATTGCGAGAAGTGTTGGGACCCACACAGTAGATGTGAAAGACGTGTAGAGCTATCTCCCTAGCAAACATATTCCATAAGTCGATAGAGACTGCATTTGCCACAACGCCCGCCTGCGAGCCCTACATCCACATCCTATTCTAGCCATCGGGCATGCCACTAGACACAACATCTTGTAGCCATTATTCACACCACCAGGTATGCTATTAGGTACGTCTCATTGCTTGGGGCTTGACCCTGCGACCCGAGCCTTGACCCTACGACCAACGCCACCCGCTTGGACGTAGCCACACCCACTAACACCGTCATTTGGCTTCTCACGAAGTCTTGGAGATCACCGTTGCCATTCTATCATCGTTTGCCTCGGCTTAATCCTCCTTTATAAATTCATTTGCTTAGGTTGTAATGATATTAACTGTAATCTTTCGCTCCTGCATTGCTAATACATTAATGTTATCATCGATTTTCACGTAATTACGTGGTGTTGTTAACATAAGTTAAATACCTGTATTGCTCACAGGTACTTAAGAAGCAATTCTTCACTCTTATTCACACCCGCGAACACCTGCTATATTCCTGCTCTATGAGCCGTTACACTGGTGCCTACACTATTGCTATGTATTTTATTAGGAAAAACCCACTGAACCGCCTCACTTGTAATTTATTGTACATACATTACAAATCTTATTGCATTGTTGCGCAAATGGTATGTATATACGTACCAAGGTTTTAATTACCCGAGTTTGAGGCACTTTACAAGCAATTCTTCACTTTTATTCACTCCCGCGGATGGCTGCCATATTCTTGCGCTATGAGCCGTTACAAGACGGTTCTTATTAAAAAAAATTCGCAAATATATACGAAACGAACTAATATTCTCCCACTTCGACTGCCTGTATTGTTCGCACTTATCCCAATACAACTAAGATTAAGGAAAGGATTCATGAAAATATTGTGGTTTAACACCACATACATAACGGCGAGCTCGATAGGGAACTATGAGAATTCTGTTGAGATATCACAATTTGCGAAGACGAAAGCTTTCGAAAGGAGGGAAAAGATTGGCGTAGGGATAAAAGAATGACAATACCCATGACTGCTATTTTCCAGCTGTTTCGTTCATCTTTTGCCTTCAATTTTTATCTCCCTAACTGTCTTCCATTACGTTTGTGGTCGTTTTTAATTGATTTTAGTCGCGTCAACACATGCATGCGATGCGTTAATTAGGGATAAGAACGACAAATTGTTGTCGAAGGGTATGAAAGCAAATGGAATCGAACAGCTTAAGCCTCTTAATGCTCTATGATTGATTATTTCGACGGGAAACGCAATATTTGAAAACGTAGCATAAAATGCCGTGAAGGAAATTAAATCTACATTGGGGGCTTCTTAAATGCGTTTTCCCAAAATCTTTCCAAGGTTTGCTGATTACAGCTAGGAAGAATTTATCAGGACGCCTCAAATTTCAATCGCATTTATATATTTCCAC